GTCGTACGTCGAAGGGCTACGTAGTGGATTGAGGGTTCCGTGAACCTCAGGAAATTACGTCACAGAGTATATTTGATTGTGAGTATGAAGAAGAAAAGAGGTTACGAAAACTGTTATAACAAATGGATAAAACAAATCCCTAATAACGCAGTTACGACAGTGTAAGTGTTCTCTTCTCAATAGTCATTATCAATTTTTTTGTATTTCTCTCGCTCAAGATAAATCGTATTTTTTGTGATTATTTTCCTATGGCTTTATTGTGAATTCTAAAATTTCGTTTTCTGTAAAATTAGAGATAATATAGACCTCTGCATTTCAGCCTTAGTTTTCGGTTTTCGTGTTTCCGTTTCTTTTTGAATAAGAGCCCAGTAACCCGTTTTCCACCTGAGGCTACCCCTCACCGCAACCGGCTGCCCTGAGCACTGCGAGCAACCTATCACTTTTCCCTTTAGTTTTAAGTTTTCTACGTTTTGAGTTTTGGTTCTTCGTTGGGTTTTCGCTTCGAAGTAATTTTTCGGTTTGTTGTTCCCGTCGAGACAAAGAGCCCGTGGCCCCCAATCATCGAGTTATCTCCAGTATCTGACTTCGCCAAGGGAAAAGGGCGAGTGAACGTCCATTTTTGTCCCAGCGAAAATTGGCCACGTTACAACAAGGTGTCCCATTTGAAAGAGTACGGCTTAATATCTCGCGTAGGAAGGAGAGAACAGCAAAAATGTTCAAATGCAAGTTGTAGGGTTCGAAAAGGGAAACTTAGTGCTGATGGAATCCAGGCCCTCAATGCTTATGTTTCTATGCTACGAGCATAAAGTCAGTTTTTTTTAATGACAACAATATTTTTTACCCCTACAAAAGTTGTTCGTCTCACCGAGAAAAGTTCAACCATACCATATTTTTCGATGACGTCATTGTTTTCATGTAAATAATCGTAAACCCGGTGGCTTGTCGCAGTGGGTAAGTTCATTGCCTCACATGCGAAAGATTCCGAGTTCAAATCCCGGCCAGGTAGAATGGTGCGATCTAACCATTTAAAGTCTGGATCATCATCGCAGTATACCCTAACCGGGTCGAAGCGATGTAAAATGACGATAAAAAAAATAATAATAATAATCGTAAGAAAATCAAACGAAAGGGAAATATCTTCATTCAGACTATCTCGCCGCACAGAAACGCTGGAATGTTATTTATTTACGATCTCGTCAATGTACCGTGTAAACAAAAGATGACTGAGGTAGGTAAGGGACGTTGTTATTCTTCATTTTCCATCATTGACAAAATATCCATCATTGACAAGGAACACGAGGGAGGTGTTCCCCTCCGATTTTGATCACACTCATGTGTGTTGTAGAGGACTCAAAACTAAAGGACAGGTATTTTTTTATCGGCTAATACGCGGATTTAGGGGGGAAACCATGGTCAGAAGGTGACCACCTTCGGGGGTGATCTCTCAATCACACTTATAAGGAGGGTGTTTTTACAAATGTTCATCACGGTAATGAATAGCTTGTCAGAAGTTATAGAAATCACAATTGATAGTTCCGCTGGGGGTTGAAATTGGGAGGTAAACTACCACGTAAAAATTTTGTTTAAAAAAAAATATATATATATATGGCTGATAATTTAATAAAACCAATTATATTTGGAAGAGCATGGAAAAATGCAAAATATCTGTTTTTGGATTTTCCCAGGAACTGAAGTTTTCTGGGGTGAAAAAAATTATTCCTCGGAAATATCACCCATCACAATGGTGAAGTTTTTTATCCATTTCATCAAGGTAACATATAGTTGGTGAGGAATTATGAAAATCATAAATGGTAGTTCATCCGGGGGTTGAAATTTGGGGGGTAAACTACCCCTATAAAAATTTCGATTTTCAAAATCAAAAATTATGTCTCAGAATTTTAGAAAACCAATTGCGTTTGAAAGAACATGCAAAAATACAGAATACATGGTTTTGGAAAAACAGCCACAAATACAAAAAAAATTGCCGAATAATCGGAATTTTTCCATAAATTATTTATCTTATAAGTTTTGTGTGTGGGAAAGCTGGATAATAGTTCCATGAGGTGATTCATCATTATACTATATGTGGTATTAACACACTGCTGAAAGCGATAATAAATCCAAACAAAGTAACAATGTTCATGCGAACGTCACCTATACCCAAAAATGGCGTATCAGTTCAGTAATCATGCATTATTGATAACCTCGAATATTTCTGCAATTTTGTTCTCATCTGTTTCGTACAGTGTTTAGTCTACATAAACATATCACGAGAAAACATTCTCTTTCTAATTGTACATCTCCAATTGTATTCACCATGAGATTCAATACTATAAATGTTATTAAGCTCCTCATGGTAACATTTGGAGTGATGAATCATGTGAAAACTCCTGTAACTAATGAAGAATGAGAATTGGCAACTAATTTCGAGAACATATTGAAAGAAACTATGGAAAAATGTAATGGTGTGGAAATGATTGAAAAATTCACTCTCGATTTCCAAGAGCTGTATAAAGATGTCGAAATGATACCAATTGAGGATACAGAATTCCAACCGCGTCTTAAAGAATCACCTGATAGTTGTTCGAATGAGGAGGAACCTATAGGCTATGAATATAAAAGAGCAGTTGAATTCTGAAGGAGTGCGAAAACCAAGAAAAATCTGCCTATAAAAACCGTTTCCAATAGATTCAAAAAAGTGAAATCCGTCCAACAATTACGTCGCTGGGCCAATAAAGTCAATAAAGGAGGAACTTATATGGAGGAGTTAAAGCGTATATCAGAGTACATTGAAAAATATGAAGAATGCTATTGATGCAGGGTTTATTGTTCATGATGCAGACCTACGAAGATGAGTTCTGTAAGCCCAGAAAGTTATTGGGATTGAGGATATTCATTTCAAGACCTCCCCATGGTGGCTGCCTTACTTCAAAAGAGCTCATCGTATTACATCTCGCAAGATTACTAAATTCGTGACTCGTAAAACAATGGAAAATCAAGAAGATTTACAAAAAATAGCGGATGAATTCATGCAAAAAATCAAACCATATTTTGAAATCTATGGCTCGCAAAACATCTATAATTCTGATCAAAGTGGTTTTCAATAGGAAATGCATTCGGGACGAACCTTGGGGAACAACGGGTCTAAAGAAGTCTCGTGCATTGTACAATCTATAACATCAACGACACAGAGTTATACGATACAACCCACGATATCTGCTGATGGAAAATTATCGTCACCTCTATTCATTGTTTACAAGGAACCCTCCGGAACGCTTCGCCCAAGGGTCCAGGAGAATCTATTCAGACCTTCAAATGTTTATGTAACGGCTTCAAAATCGGGAAAACTGACTGCTGGTAAGATATTTTTAATGTATAACCAGATGTGACAAGTTATTTCCACTGAAGGAAATGTTCATCGTATTCCAAATATTCCAGAGCACTTTAAAATTTGGTTGGAAGAAGTATTCTTTTCACACGGGGGATCAAAAAGTCTACTGTTGATCGATTCATGGAGTGGACATTGCTCTCGAGTGGTAGAAGAGGCAACTCCTCGGAATAAAGAATTATTAACTATGCTGATTCCGAAAGGGATGACCGGGAAAATTCAACCTCTTGATGTATACGGTTTCAGAATTTGGAAAAATGATGTTCGTCATTTTTCAGATACGGTCGTTCTCTTAAATAATGACATCAATTTACATGCACGAAATAATCTAATAAAATTGCAATCTCGAGTTCATAATCAATTATCGTCACCAACGTATCAAAATCTATTTCGTTATGCTTCGTTCCAAAGTGGCTACATTGCTAAAAAAACCGAGGAATTTGATAATCCTGTTGATTTTGCATTCGGACAATCATCTAATCCACAATGTGACGTTGATGGTTGTTCTAATGTTGCAGTAGTTAGATGCTCGTGGGGCAGAAAGTCTCTCTGCCTGCACCATTTTTTTGATGAATATCATTTCTGTACCGATTATAATCCATAATACAATATATATATGGACAACCACAGAAAAATGCCAAGGAAGTAAAGGCTCGATTGAGACGGATGGAATGAGTTTCTACAATAAATACTAAATCTTTTGGATAACTCGCAGTTCTCCCAGAAATTATTTCTTCTACCCCAGAAAATTTGAGTCCCGGGGAAAATAAAAAAAAGGTATTCCGCATTTTTCCATGTTCTTCCCAATGCAATCATTTTCATGAAATCGTGATCTATAATTTTTTTAAAAATATTTTCACAGCGGTAATTTACCCCCACCTCCTTTAAATTTCAAACCCCAGAGAAACGATCAATCGTGATTTTCATACTCGCTCACAAGCTATTTTCTCCTTCGATGGAATGAATAAGTAACTCCACCACTGTGATGGGTGATATTTCCTAGAAATCATTTCTTTTTATCCCAGAAAATTTTTATTCTGGCGAAAATCCAAAAACACGTATTCTGCATGTTTCCATGGTCTTTCAAACGTAAATGGTTTTATAAAATTCTGAGCCATAGTTTTTTTTTTTGAAAAGCAAAATTTTTACGGGGTAGTTTACCCCTCCAATTTCAATCCCCGGAGGAACTATTAAATTTGATTTTTATAACTTCTCACAACCTATTCATTACCGTGATGAACATTTCCGCACGCGTGCCCCTCAAATCCCTGCCCCCCCCCCCCCCCCACAATTTACCCACGTACCATCGCCCCCCCTCCAGCGCTGTAGCAGTCAAGAAATTCAGCCGAGATCACCCTCCTGATAGGTGGGATTGAAAGATCACCCCTGAAGGTGGTCACCTTCTGGCCATGGTTTCTCCCCCCCCCCCTTAAAGCCGCGTATCAGCCGATAAAAAAAAATACGTGTCCCTTAGTTTTGATTCTTCTACAATATATATGAGTTTAATCAAAATAGGAGGGGAACACCTCCCTAGTATTCCTTGTAAGTGCAACCGGGGCTCTGCTGAGGTGGTCTGTCATTTCTCTAGGTACCCGTCGGATAAACATGAAAAATGAAACAAACAAACTACAAGGAGCAGAAGCAGGGGCAGCAGATGAGAGGAGTCAGGCGTGGGATAGGCTTGCAAGGCTTATCAACGATCTTCATGAGTTCGTTCAGCCAAAAGTGAACGTCCACAAGGAGATCAAATCGTAGATGATTAACATCAATAATACCTTCAGAAGATTGAGAGGCTTAGAAGAATCTCAGGAGCGAGCGAAACAGCCCGCTCCCAAACCAGAAATAAGCAGATAGGTCTCATTGCCTGTACGTCCACGGACACTATCCGGGACTACAGCAAAGGACTCAGAGCTGGAAACTGATGATACATCATCCGTGGCAGACTCTCGGGGCGTCAGCCAAGGAAGACGAAGGAAGCGTGAATCGCCGGGATATAGTGATAAGAAGCCAAAGAAGTCCGAGGGAGTGGGGACCGCCTTACCCGCCAAGACGCCTGACCCTCCGGAGAATAACCGGGGTTGGGAGATAGTGAAGGAAGGGAAGAAAGTAAAGCGGACTCCTAAGACGTCACCAAACACTCACCGAAGTGGAAGGAGAACAGGCAAATCAGGATGCAGTTCCGAAGCACTGATCGTTCGCCCGAAAGATAAGGTGAAGTATGCTGAGATACTAACCAGCGTGAAGAGGGATGTCCCGTCTGACCAGGCGCTGGGATGTGTCGACAAGATACACAGAATAGCCACAGGGGGCATGCTCATCGTCTTGACAAAAGACAGTGCGAGCAAAGCCCAAGTATTGCAAACGACCATTGCCGGTCTCCTTGGAGAAGAGGCTGAGGTTCTTAGCAAAGGGTCTCAGCTGAATATTAAGATCGAAGATCTCGATGACACGACAACAAAGGAGAAAATTCTGGCAGCCCTTTGCAAAACAGCGGGCAACGAGGTCCAGATTACACTGGATGCCATAAAAGCCCTGCGAAAGGCCTACGAAGGGAAACAGACGGCGTTGGTGGCAATACTTGTGCCCATAGCGAAGAAGATCTTGGGTGGCCACCGCAAAATCCGGATAGGCTGGGTTAATTACGGAGTGAGGAAAGTGGAGAGACCGGTTAAGTGCTTCAAGTGCTGGCACTATGGACATCTCGCCACAAAGTACACGAGTACAATCGACCGGTCTCAGCTCTGCGTCATATGCTCAACGACCGGCCACAAGGCCTCAGACTGCACGGAGCAGCCCCGATGAGCTTTGAGCATCGAGAAAGGCAACACGGAGAATTGTGCCCACATTGCTGGTAGCAGTAAATGCTCAGTGTATAAGGAGGCACTCCAGAAGGTCCTCAATAACCGACGATGAAGGTACTTCAAGTAAACCTCAACTATTGTGAAGATGCACACAACCTGCTTATGCAGGCGGTGCGGGAAGCTTGACCTTGTCATGATCTCAGAGCCGTATCGACATCTCAGTACCCAATCCTGGATGACTGACGCTAGCAGGAAGGCTGTAATCTGCGTTTGTGGGAAACGGCCAGCCCAGAGCACTACGGGCAGTAGTATACAAGATGGCTTCGTCAAGGCTAAGGTTGATGGAATCCATTTCTATAGCTGGTACGCCCCACCGAGCCTTTCCATCGATCAATTTACGGACATTCTAGACAGACTGACTGAGGATGCGAAGCAGCAAATTCCCGTGGCAATGGCCGCGGACTTCAATGCTTGGGCAGTCGACTGGGGAAGTAAGGAGACCAATTGCAGAGAGCAAGCTGTACTGGAAGTCATGTCATCGTTGGATGTGGTTCTACTGAACAGCGGCGATGAACCGACTTCCATGAGGGGAGAGGCGAGCTCAATTGTGGACCTTACATTCGTGAGCAGCAACCTCGCAAAGGGGAACTGCTCATAGAATGTAATGGATACCTACACTGCAAACGACCACCGTGCGATACTTCGGGAGATATGTACTCACCAGAGAGTCGCCTCAACTTCGAAGAAAACCAACTGCATTGGCTGGAGAATGAGCACCTTCCATCCTAGCTCTTATCTAGTCGCACTGGACGATCGCCCGATTAGTGGCAAAAATGCTACTAAGAAGGCACGGAATATCATGAAAAAAGTGACAGAAGCATGCGATGCCATCATGTCCAGGAGACGGACAGCACACCGGAATCAATCTGTATTTTGCTGGAATGACCCTATCGCCATTCTACGAAAGGCATGTAATGCAGCCAAGAGATTGTCTCAGCGTGGCCGTAAACAGCCAGACTTTGAGGAGCAGCAGTGCAGATATAAGGAAGCACGCCGGAAGCTCAGCAAAGCGATCAAACGCAGTAAAAAAGAATCTTGGAGTGAGCTCGTTGATGAGGTGGAAGGTGATACATGGGGAGACTGTATAAGGTGGTGATGATGCGACTCAAGGGTCAATCATCGCCTACGTGCCTTGTGCTGATGGAGAGGATTGTCACGGTGTTGTGCCCCCAACAACCAGAGCTTCACTGTACTGTCCCGGTAAACGGGGAAAAGAGTTATTGGTTCCATCAATCACCAAAGAAGAATTGATGAAAGCTTGCAATAGAGTGGGTAACACCATAGCCCCTGGTCTTGATGGAGTTCCCAATATCGCACTGATATCAGCTATTCATGCAATTCTGGATCTATTCTTAGATGTCTACAATGAGTGCTTAACGGAGGGCACCTTCTCGGCTATGTGGAAACTGCAGAGACGAGTATTGCTCCCGAAAGGGAACTAACCACCAGATGATCCTTCATTATACCGTCCCCTCTGCATGCTAGATACCGCTGGCAAAACCCTCGAGCGTATCGTCCACCGAAGGATAGAAACAGCGGTCGAACCCTTGTTGGCCGACAACCAATATGGGTTCCGAAAAAGCCGATCCATTCTAGACGCTATCAACCGGGTCGTCAACACCGCTAAGGACGCGATTTCAGGGAAAAGATGGCTGAATGGTACAAACAAGTACTGCTTGGTAGTCACGCTAGATATCAAGAATGCTTTCAATTTGGCCAAATGGGGTCGTATTATCGAGGCATTGGTGAAGTACAATGTACCGGAATACTTGCAGAGAATGGTCAGCAGCTATTTCAATGGAAGAATCCTTAAATACGCCACGGAGTGTGGTTCCAAAGAGTACAGTCACCGGTGGTGTACTGCAAGGTTCCGTATTGAGTCCTCTGTTGTAGAACATCATGTATGATGAGCTACGGAAGCTGTAATTGCCACGGGATACTAAACTCGTGACATTTCCAGATGACGTGGCTGTAGTCATTGTGGGCAAATACTTGGAGGAGATCGAACTCAATTTTGACACAACCTTCGAGATGATCCGCCGCTGGATGGACACAGTAGGCCTGAACCTGGCGGAACACAAGACAGAGGCCATGCTGATTACCAGCAGAATGCTTTCGGAGAAAATGACGCTGCAGGTCGGGTCCTGTGAAATTACGTCTCAGCCGTTCATCCGATACCTGGGGGTGATGATCGATGCCCGACTCAATTTCAAGCAGCAAGCGGAGCACGTGCTAGCCAAGGTATCTGGAGTCGGATCCACCTTATTACGTCTCATGCCCAACATTGAAAGCCCCAAGCAAAAAAGGCGAGTGCTGCTGTCTTCAGTGGTTACGTCGGTGCTCACATATAGTATTTCCATTTGGGCTGACGTACTTGAGCTGCAGGAAGCGCGGCGTAGGATAAACCAGTCTTCGGCCAGTCTTCGGCTGAGTGCCCACAGAGTTGTGAGTGCATACCGGACGGTGTCGGAGGACGCAGTGTGTGTGTCATCGCAAAAATGTTACCTATAGAGGTAATGGCTGAGGAGCGAAGATACCTGTACATGCGTAAGAGATCTGAAGTGCTGAGTCCTGAAGAACTGGCGATAGAAGACAGGCGAAACAGCTTGAAACGATGGCAGCTGAAATGGGACAACTCCACCAAATGAAGATGAACTCAACTTCTGGTCCCGAAGGTGGATGTCTGGCTGAATCATGACCATGGAGAAGTCAATTATTACCTCACACAGATGCTGTCGGGACGTGGGTGCTTCCGGGCCTATCTTCATGAATTCGAACATGAGGATTCCCCGGAGTGCCCGACCTGCATAGGAGTGGATGAGGACGTGGAGCACGTGTTTTTCACATGTCCACGTTTCAGCGAGATCCGGAGAACCTGGGAGACTGCACTCGGAAGGCGGGTCCTGCCTGGGAACGTGATGGAAGTTTTGCCTATATCGCAGGAGCTCAGAAATGAGGAGTGCAAACGCAAAATGGCAGAATAGATGGAAAACCGGCTGGAACCTCCTACCCACACACAACATCTTAGTAAGACAAGCGGACGTACAATAGGCTTAAAGAACGAGGAAGAGCAAATACCTGAGACTTCCCTCGCGAAGTAATACTTAACGGTGGTACCGCGCGGGAAAGTCGGGTCAACGAATTCCCGAGGTCAAGTGCTTTTAGTGGGTGGGGGCCCCACACAGGTTGTGACAGTAACCGCCATGTTACTGCCCACAATCGTGCGGTTAGGTGTATTTCGCCCCAAGACCTCGGAAGGAAAAAAACACACATAGACGCACTCACACACACACCGCAATATTGTCATCGAAGGCAACCTGGGATGCAACGAGTGACTTCGTGGCGAAATTCATGAAATAGCTGCATGAGGATGACTGTCGTCGAAAGATAGCTGCATAGGCGAGAAAGCTACCGGATCCTCTTTCTCGCCACTAACATCTGAGTGGTCATAACAGAGGAAGAGCCACAGCTAGAAGGTCCCCCCCGCGCAGTGATGCCAGCCGGCGGTTCCGTGCGGAGTATGGTGTAAGAGAAGAGATGAAAAAGGGTTTTACTGGGTCAAAATCCCAGATCTGGTTTTTACCATGACTTTACCAGAATTTTTCGAAGATTTCCCTCAATCTCTATGAAAAAAAAAATACACACACCTTCTAGGAACTGCAGGACCTTGTCAACGGTGGAGGGACTCAAGGAATGTACCCAAACGAAGAAGCAGTTCAAGCCGAGGCGTATCCTTTTCAGGACATCTTAGGAGTGAAGCCCAACCGCAAAAGTGGCCAGCAGAATGGGCTCCCTAAAACAGCCTCATCCCAATGTCAAGGTGTTCACTGTGCCGAGCTCTGGGGGCGCCACGGGCTTCGCAAACGGTGGTCCATGGGGCACCAGGTCCTACCCCGGGTGCATTAAGTTGCCTTACTCCGGCAACCGGGGCTCTGTCGGAGTGGACAGTCATTTCTCTAGGTACTCGTGGGAACACTATGATGAAACTAGCAAACAAACCAAATGAAGATGCAGGAGGAAGCAATGGGCATCATGCCAAACAGGTAGCACTGGATGCAAGTGATGAAATGAGGAGGATACAGTGATACAATCGCCTTGACTGGCTAATCAACGAGCTATATGGGACATTGCATGTCAACTCAGCCACACCAGATTTTTTTTTGGCTGGGAAAAATCATTGAGTAGGTGCATTTTGAACTACTACATATAGACAGTGATCATGCAAAATTTCATTGCCCTGCCACCTTTTGTTTCTGAGATAATCATTATGAAACTTGAAATTTTCAAAAAATCATCACTTCTGAATGGAGCATCCGATTTTGATAAATAAAAAAATAAAATTTTCGTTTTTTCTCGTACTTCAAGATGAGAAATACTTCAGAGCTATCAAGAAGCTCCTAGACCGGTTTTTCGAAAAATTTTCGGGTTTTCATTTTTTTTTTCACTCTAGGGCCGCTCGATATTCGATCGAAATATCTTTTTTATAATAAAGGATGTCTTTATATAATATGAAAAAATAAGCCATAATGGAACAGCGATGCGGTGCATTGCTTCGAAATTTTTTTTTCCCAAGCAATGCACCGGAAAAAAATTTTTTTTTCGAAATTTTTGGGTTTTTCAGTTTTTGGGGGAGATCCATCGGTTTTTTACAAGAAATGAGTGTGTCAACCATTATTCTTCATTCATATATGATGACGTAAGACTACACCATCATGTAAAGGAGAAAGAGTGCGCCGAAAAAAAAATTTTTCCTCGAAATTTTTACTGGAAGGGTAGATAGTTGAATTGAACATTATCATAATCGGAAGTTTGCTGAATTATGATCAAACAAATGAGAGAAAGCAACAAATGGAATCAATTAATTGATTTATCATCATCAGTCGGTTCCAAGGCTTTAGTTCTAGAAAAAAATGTCAATTTCTGGATTGATTTTTTATCACC